CAAATGGAATTTAAAATAGATCATCTTGGTTATTACATTGTATTTACAAATCAATACTATTTTAACAGGCACACCTACTGGAACGGGTACGGGAACAGGCACCACAACCATGTCAACAGTGTCTCAAACTCGTACATCAACATCGACAACAACAACAACACCAAATCCTACAGGTACCACGACTCAATCAAGCACGACTTTCACTACTACAACTCACACAGGAAGTCCAACCAACGCTCCATCACCAACATCTGGTGCAACAAATGCTTATTTGGATGGAAGCCTTGGTGCTATGATTGGAATTGTAGCCTTTTTGATGTCTTGGGCTTAAATAGAATATTAAGCTTGAATAGCTAATTTTTCTCAAAAGTAGAATAAAGTGCACATAGGATGTTATGATACTGTTTTCTTTTTTTTTTAATTATTATCACAAGCATTATTATCCATCTGTATTTACATTAATCTTTTGCGCTATATAGTATAAGAAATTCGATAATTAATTGGAATTAAATAAATATTTTATTGGTAGCTAATGAAATATTCTGCTTTATATTCATTTTTATTTCGCCCTTATAGTTTACAAGAAACAGTATAAACATTTTGGCAATTGTATGTTAAGAAATTTTTCGTTAATATGCATAGTATAATTTTATTAAAAATTTTGATAACAAAGTTAGAATCGAATTATAAATCGAATGAATACTTTAACATGTATTCATTATTAAAAAAAAACATGAATAATAAATAGGTACCGCTTTTGGTATATATTTTGTATAAAATGAATCTTTATGGGAAAACGGTGAATACCAATCAGGCCGCCGGAGCACAAGCCGGGGAAAAAATATATTTACAAAGAAACTGTCAATGTTAATAGGCTCGATACATATTTGTGATATATATATTTTTTATTTACTATAACAATTAGCTTACCCTATAAGAAAAATGGTTCGGATCGGTACGAGTTGGTTTCGGATAGGCACGGGCCTTTGTGGCACGGGTCAAGATCCGGATTTGTACGGATATGGTCCGAGTTGGTCTGGATTCGGTGGTCCGTGTTGGACCGTATGCCCGTGCCAATTGGTCCGTAAATGGTACAGTCAAATCGGCACGGGATTTGGCACGGGTAATGATACGTAAATTCACGTGCCACCGCAATAACAAATAACAAACATGTTAAAACATAAAATTTATATTAGTAATCAATATAATACGAACAAACTAACTAACTGCATATGAAGTAAAATTTTGTAAGGAATCTTTTTCGTTAAGATACTCAGAGCAGCTTTATCAGTGAAATTATGAAATATTGCACTTTTTTAAAAAAAATCATTTATTGATCTTTCGCTCTCCGAAAAACGAGCCAACACGTGTGCAACGTACACATACGTCAGGGACCCGTAAAAATTTTTTGTGTTATACGAAATCTTTATTTGCATTATTGCAAAAATTTGTATTAATTTGTAATAAGATATTAGCTTTATATTAATTTGCAATCTTTTTCCGAAAACAACAGAAATTTATTCAAAATTTTGTCCCGACCTTGCTCGTCTTTTATGTTCATTCATTTTCTCTTTCTTAAATTTTTGGAATCTTAATTCAGCACATTATCCGACATTATTAGCCAATCAAATTTATAAAAATCACGTGAATTTTACCCTTAGAAATTTGGTTTAATTTGCAAAATCAATCTAAATTTGCATTAATTAGTATTAATTTATATACAAATTTTTACGGGTCTCTGACATACGTGTCATGAACGTGTTGTTCCGTATGACGTGATACAACGTGCCACCCCTTGCCGAAATGTTCGTGCCATTTTTACCGTGCCATTCCGTAAAACGTGCCAGTGCGTGCCACACAATCCGTGCCACTTTGTACATTCCCGAAACCAACCTGTACCACTTTTCTTATAGGGCTACATATTAACAATCATATCCTGTCTACAACAAAAATGCAGTTGACAAGAGTCAACGGATCGAAAGAGCTGGTCGGGTTACACACAACGTGCTACAACCCGTGCCCTCAAATCATGGGACAAATGGCATGGATCGGGATCAAAGAATGAATCAATTAATTAAATTGCATGAATCAACACGCAACAAAGAAATACTCAATAGATAAAGATCGATATATAAACAGCTGACAAAGAAAAGTCTAGTTCGACACTCTTTCCACTTCAACACAATAGTCTTTGGCAAACAAATTTCTCGAATAAACATTCCAAGTTACCTGTCTCGGCAGACTTCAGATAATTTGCAACCATTTTTTGCTAATCGATTTCAATGCCAATTCCTAATTAATTACAAAAACCAACTCGATACATTCCGTTAAAATTATTCAATTCTGCCAATTTTTGATAATACGTGAATGCTTTGTTTTCATCCTTTTCAACACCAATTCCATATTCGTAACAATAACCGAGCCTGTACGTTCCGTCTGAATCATCCCTATCTGCCGTTTTTGTCAATCTGAGAAATTCAGTTTGTTAAAATTATTTACTAAGCTTTCTTCTGTCAAGTCTTTATTTGCCATTTTAACAGAGAATATGTATGTACGTACCGATACGATATATTTATTAGATTTTCCATGGTTGTACAAAATACAGTAGCAATTATAAATAATGGAGCAAAAAAAATATTGTATTTTTTCACAAAATTCTGGTTATATCCATTTAATTTTTTTTTTTATTTCATTCATAAATAATATCTTTTATTAATAATTTTAAAAATTTGTTGGTTATTATTATCAACTTTATCAAATCTACTAAAAATATTCTTGTTAATCTTATTAAAATAAAATTACACTCAACCAATTCTCTTCACAATTGAGCTGACTAGTTGGCCAAACAAGGCTCTACCAAATCTCTCTTAACCTTTTCTTATACTTACTTTAATTTGCCTACTTACTTTTCTTGAAACAATCATATTTTTACATTTAAAGTATGTTTTTTTATCAAAAATATTATTACAATTCAAGAACTTATATCCTGGTCATCCCTCAAACTTTTCAACAATTATACATTAGATATAAACTGGAACTTGACCTTCAAACTACTTAACTCTCTAGAATATAATTTTCAAAAATACTTCTTTTATATTAAAATCCTAACAAATAATCTTTCAACAATGCAAAATCTTAATATTTACTACCCAAATCTATATATAACAAATAAATATTATAAATGCCTTTCAACTGAAGACTCCCTCCACATATTTCTGTGCTTCCAAAATACTAAAAATATTTAACTATCACTTATTAATATAACTACTAATACACTTTGACAATTCTAAATTATATCTATTCAACTTACTACACTTCTTAAAATTCTTTTATTATCTGCAAACAACTCTTCAAACACACAATACAACTCTCTTATCCCTACCATTTTTGAAATATATCTTAAAACAATATATCAAAACACTAAAACCCTAATTAAAAAACAAACAGAACCCATGCTTATCAATTTTTCTTTTCAACACCAATGGGAAATAACATACCTAAAACCAAGTATATTAAATTCTCTATACCTTTACTCACTAACCAAACAATTTTTTATAAACCTTATTCACAACCAATAGATCCATGCAATGGCTATTGAAAAATGGTACTTACAAGGCTTTCCTCTAACAACATGCTTTTTATAATATTATAATTAGCATCTTAAGGTTTTCTCTAACCTATTCTAACTAGAATTATTTTATTCATTTAAATTAATAATAGTATTAAATAGAGAATAGGAGGTGTAATATCACATTGGGTGCTCTGCAGCACAAGTATAGTTAGAAATCTTTGCTATAGAAATTTTTTTCTAAAACTACATCTTCTTTTTATTAGCTAGTACTGAGTTGAAGAAATTTGGCAGCCTGGTCAATTGACTTATCTGTCCCCTTATCTAAGTCTTTTTGACAACAAGAAGACTATTAATCTTTAGATTAATATAGATTTATTGTAATAAAGTTTTTATTATAACATTATATTAATAAAAAAAAAAAAAAACAAACTTAAAATTATAAAAATCTAATCACTAGATCCTAAGATCAATCTAGATTTGTATACAATTATATAGTATATAGTAATATATAATATATATTATATATAGTATATACAATATAATAGTATACAAATCTAGATTAATTTTAAGATCTAGTAATTAAATTTTTATAATTTTAGACTTGCTAGAATTCTCTTTTAGAGAGGATAATTTTGATTACTAAATCACTCAAATTAGTCTAATAGATTAAAGGTTATTTTAATATTAAATTTTTTTTTTTTTTTTTTTTTGTAAATTGCTTATATGCTTGTAAATTTTATTAATTAAGATCTTTAGAACTTATTACAATTAGATATTACAAGGATTGAGTTGTGCTACACTA